ATATGCGCAGCAGCAAGAAGGTTTCGGTCATCCCTTGAGGGTGAGTCTAGCCCTGCTCGCCAGAAAGACCCCCCCCTTCACTACAACCCATGTCTAAGCAAAAGCTTGTCGAGGAGCGAGGGGAAGAAGGGAGAGATCTCGTGATGGTTCGCAATGGATCCGCGTCAACTCTATCAAAAATGGGGAGCCCAACATGACAGCCGAGGGCTTCCGCGAGTACCTCAACAAGGACGTCTTGCTTCAGGTAGCAGACACCGAAACGTGCGACTACGACCCCTTCAAGCACGCTCCTGTCACCAAGACGACGACTGAAACGGCATCAGGAGAGATAGTGGTGTCGTACTCGGTGACCGTTCGCACGGCGCGCTCCTGGCTGCACAAGCTGGGGTGTGAGTACCGCGATCTCATGTCGGCCTGTACTTTGACGGCCGTGACCGCGAAGACGTGCTCGCGTACCGGGTCGAGAAGTACCTCCCGGCGTACTTTGAGCACCGCGATTACATGGAGATCTGGATCGAGGCGACTTCGGACGAGGCGCGCTCCTGGGAGGTGCAAGTGCAAGAGCAGGACAGGCAAGAGGATGGGCGTGTTTGGGTTTGCGTGCATGGCTTCAAGGAGACCCTCTCCGAACTTCCTCAGCATCTCCGCGAGAGGGTCACCCGCAAAAAAACTTACTCTGACGGCAGGAGAGCGATCTTCTGCTACCAGGACGAGTGCATCTACAGGGCCAACGACGGCCAGCGTTTCGCGTGGGTGCCATCCAACTATCACGCGCTCAAGAAGGGAGACGGTCAAGGCATTCTGATCTTTGGCACCATCGTCGACAACGTGGGGATTGTTGCGGGTGACCAGGCTGATACATAGTAGCAGCTACTTCGAATACACTCGGTCCGAGCTGACGAACGGTAGCCCGTGTTTTGCGCAAATGCAACTGTTTCTCGTGGTTGGCCGTGTCCGCGGTGGTCTCATCGCGGAAGCTGGAGCGGGGGATTCGCTTCCTGCATTTTATAGAGAACGCTGGGGGGCGCGTAGGTGCCTGGCCAATTACATGTTTGTTCGAAAGTCACCATATTCCTGTGCTCACGTGCTACCGCCCACTCCTCACGCACCCCTCAGCTCTGCCTACCACGGTGCCGTGTTTGTACCTCGCGGGATGTTTTGTACAAAGCAAAAAAAGGGAGATGTTTTGAGTTCGTGGTTGCCGAGATATTAGACAAAGAGTTGTCATCCCCCCCCACCCCCAGAAATGCCTTGTAAATCCTATACGAAAACCGTGAAATTCTAGGAACGCCTCAAATCGATTTGGTCCCTGAACAACTACTGTGGCAAATAGGATGTAGATTACGACTAAAAACAAAAAATTGAAAAAAGTGAAAAACTAGTGAAGTTATGGCCGGTCAACCAAAATCGACCTGACGAATGCCGGCACTGTACCCCACCCCCGACCCGGCCCGAAATGCTGATCTCGAGCTACAATGCGAATATCGCGGAATATCGAGTATGGTTCGGTGGGGAATCGCAGATCATCACCACTCCACGAGTTTAGCGTTGTCCGTGTCGCCCGCTGAACGGGGCGGTTGAAAAAGGAGGGTCCGTCCGATGCATCACAATTGTTTTTTTGTTTCTTGCTGAGTGAGCGGGGCTTTCCATCTTCATGATGCCACCTTGATGGTTTATATCTCTCTGGCTGCTGTTTTGATGCACCACAGCGGGCATCTTGGAGGTATACGGTCTCTGTCTGTTAGTGTTGGACACCCGTACGCGTCACTCATTCCCTGAACCGTGCACGGACAGCAACAATCATCGTTGATCTCGTTCATGAATATGTTCGGAATGTAGACTATAGCTATGTCGGCCTTTTGTTTGTCTTCCATGCGCGTGATTTTTTTCGTTTTTTTGTGTGGTTGCTTTGAGTTGAGCATTGTTTCTGGACCGCATGTGAACCAGGGTTTCCGGACCGCATGTCAACTGCCGCGATCGCTGCCCTGGTCTTGCTGTTTTAGTATAGTAGTGCATGGTTTGGTCGTGTGATGTGCATCTACGCGGCTACACAGGTCTACGTCGAACGTTGACAAGTTGAGTAGTTGTGAAACTGCCGTCCCACTTCACGTTGACTTTTTCCCGTCCCTCCGCCGATTTCGTCCATGCTAATAATGCTGTTGGTGTGTGCCGTAACTACGAGAGCGGCAAGCCACCAACTAATGATGCTTTCCATGTCAAAGAGAGTGCCGTTAGTTAGGCCATCTCCACCATGGAGAAAGCGCGTACTACGGTACATACATTCGCCTCTCTCCGTCCCTCCCCTTTTCGGCTCTTGGAATACTTCCTTGTCCATAATGTTTTGATGGGTCCACGGAGTGTCTGTCTTAGGTTTGTTGCGATTGCCGCCATTGCCGCTGCCGATTTTTAGAGTACATGAGATGGCCTCGAGGAGCATTGCTCGCCAAAACAAGAAAGGGTTCATGGCGGGCACATTTCTTCCACTTATGTGTGTGTACATAATAGATGCATAGGATTTATTCGCGAACTCTCTCCCGTAATTACTCTCGGTTCTTCCCCAAGCATTACATTCCGTCTATTCTGTACTGCTGTAGCTGCTTTCTTCCCTCTCGGGGCTCTCCGCGTATTTGTTTATTTTTGTAACAGTTTGTTGGGGTCCCATGAGTCCCCCTTCACCACAAAAAAAACATTTTTCCTGTATTTGACGGGTATATATCCTTTGCTTTCGGGTAGCAGCATTCGTTTTTTTTGTTATGGGAGCGGGGCTTCCATCTTGATGGTTTGTATCCCTCAAGCTGCTGCTGTCGATGATGCATGCACACCGGGCATCTCGGAGGTATGCCTTTTCTCTGTTAGCTTTGGACACACACCCGAACGCGTCACTCATTCGCTTACGTGCACGGAGAGCACCATTCAACGTTCGATGCGCGAATGTAGTTTTTCTGCATGTATATCTGTGGGCCTATCATGCGCGTATGTAGGCTCGCATTTTTGCGTAGACTTAAATCTATGTTGCTTTGAGCAGTGTTGCCGCAGCGCATGTCCTACAGGATTTCCGGACCGCAGTTAGTTGTCGCCGCCCCTCGGGTCTTGCTGCAGTACATGGTTCGGTGGTATGCGTCTACGCGGCTACACACGTTTACATCGGACTTTAACGTTGACATCAAGTTGGCTGTGTTGCAACTAACTGCCCGTCCTTTCGTCCATCCCATTCATTCATGCTCTCGAACAAGAACAATATAATATAATAATAATATTATAATAATAATAATATAATATTGTCGAATATATCCTTCTCTACACAGACAGGTGGTAGGCAGCCCCCACAAGGCAAGTCGCGGCCCTCATTTTACATATCCTTACAACAACACTCCTCCTACAACCGTAGCTCAAACACACCAGTATGCCTCCCGAGACTGCCAAGGCGTGTGGGGGGATAATCGTCGATGAGCATGAGAACCAGCTCCGTCAACTGCCCAAGTTCTGCAGACGACGCTTTGTTTGTTGGGGTGGTTGTCTTTGGGGGCGTGTCTCCTTGCCACGTCCTGTCACCTGGTCGGGCCCGCAGACAAGTGTTTTGCCCTCTCCGTCCCCTCCGTCACGCGCGCATTAACCGTTTACTACAGAAACACTTCTATTCCGTGTTCAGACGGGGGAAAATGCAGAATAAACGCCCTCTGCCTCTCTCCACTCCCATCAATCTCCCGTCCGATTCATTTTTTGGGGAGAGGAAAGCTAGACTGGGGTCCGCTCGCATGCGAAAAATGAGCGGAGCGTGTTATCGCTGATCGAATCTACATGAAGGAGTATTTTGGCTGTGATCGTGCGTAGCCAGATGCATGTACGTACATCAGCAAGCACTCGGCAGTAGTAGGATTTCCTCGCCAGAAATAGTGCATAGACGAAGGGGCGTGGAGGGGGTGAACTCATAGTCGTGCATGCCGTAGTCGTTACACCACTGATCTTGCATCCCTACAAAGCCGGGACGGAGCACGCCGGGTTCTCACCGGACCAGGCTCTCACATCACCAAGCGCGAAGCGCCGTGAGATATTCGGCGAGTCGCATGAAGGGTGCGCTGCATCCTGCTAAGGGTGTTCGGCATCTTGTGCTTACTTCCTTGCATACGGATGACAGCTGCGTATGACTTAATTTATTTTCTGGTGCTTTCACTTCCAGAGACAGTTGTAAGCACTGTGTAACTGCCTCGAGGGTGCTTGACCATTTCAACACAACGTGGTGCGATCATCCCCCTTGCGCAGAGCGAGGGTTCTCGACCCCGCACAACATGATCTACTCGACCACCATGATCGTTACCGCCAAAAAAAACGCCAGAGATATAAAAAAATAAAACAGTACCCTGGTTGCCGAGTTCACGATATGAATTGGCTTGTTTTACAACGTCGTTGCCAAGGGACGAAACCCAATCCCGTTGGCAAACACCGAGGGGGGGACAATGATGTGTTATGTCCACTCGGTGCGGGTTGGGGACTGTTTTTTTTCGGGCGGAACTTGAGTCACTCCTTTGCGCAAAAACGTTCTCTATAGGGGCCCGCGAGCGTGATAATGAAGTACACACGCAGAGACCCAACCAAGATATCGGTTCGACGAGACCCCGACCGCGTGACCACAGGCGTCACCTTGTACTGCTGCTGACGGACCGCCGACTGCCGGGTTGGCTCTAATAGCGTGCGGTAGCCCAGTCTACCCTCCGTCGCGACCGTCACGGTAACCGCTTCTGTCGTTGCTGGTCTCATCAACGATGCTGCTGCTCCGTTCGCGAGTGCGTGCGTCTCGGCCGGCCGCCTGTGCCGGGGAGAAATCATAACAACCGTTCGTA